GGCAAAGTAGTTCTTCAACTGACCGCTGACATTAAGAGACTAGCCCATGTTCTCGTTCAATCATGGAATGGATGGAATGGTGATTTATGGTCTTGGTTACCAGGAGCGCTGTGGGTAAAGCAACTTTTATTTTATTTGTTATGCGCATTTGCTGCCTTAATGTTTTTGCCATGTATCATCCCTTGTTTTATTCAATTAATCCAACATGTTTTATCTAATATGCAATTTGTATCTACTGTCTCACCTGATGGTGTGGAGCAGATTTGAGTCATTCGCCAATCAAAGCCTGCAGCTGTATCCATTATTTAGTGAGGTAGAAGCTTCCAAACTTCTCAAATGCTTATAACTTTGTTAACATTTTTATTTCAGGACATTTGTTTTGCTAACCTTGTTTTACATATATAGTTTGTAGTTACTTGTATATTGAGTTTCTTTATTGTTTGTTTTTGTAAAAGTTGTTGGATCATCCAACAGACAATATCTGGAATTTTGTATGATGATGTATAAGATACTGTTGTGTGTGCTTCTTCCTTCTCTCTCTCTCTCTCTCTCTCTCTCTCTCTCTCTCTTTCTGTACTTTTACCGTGCACACCACCACAAAGCAGCAATGTCAAGCCATGGGGTGGTGTAAGAGACTATTGTGGACTGTGTTTATGTAAGGGACTATTGTGGACTGTGTTTTGTCTCCACATTGTTGCCATATAATTTACAAATTTCTAGCCTCCTATCACTGGGAAGACTACGAAATCAGCTAAACTTTGGCCTTGGTATCCTGTCTCCGGGAAGACTGAGATATGAACTCCAGGTGTCTTATCTTTGTACAATTAACAACTTCCTGGCCTTGGCATCCTGTCCATGGGGAAGACTGGGATACCAGCTCAAGGTTTGTTATCTCTACACAATTTAGGACTTCAGGGATTAGCTCAAGACCCCAGCAATGCTCAGCAGAGCCTGATGAGCGGCACTCATCAGCAGTGGAGTGGGGGGGAATAGGAGTGACAGTTGAGTGTGGGGAAGAGGAGCACCAAAGCAAAAAGCTTCAAGAAAGTAGGCAGACTCTTCAAGAACTGTGACAATAAAAGGACTATGTTCCTCTCCCCGGGTGGGGGAGATGCACGCAAAAAGAGAAGCTTCTTTTTCTTCTTCTCAAATCTTTTCCAAGAAAATCATCACCTGCACTGAGGCAGAGACGATGAAACATGACTCGACTGGTGGTGGTGGTGATAACTAATCTTGCTGCACCTCTCCCACTTGCTTGCTTATCTTTCTTCTTTTTTTTGTTCTCCTTTTCTTCTTCTTCTTCTCTCTGTCCTATGGCTATAATGAAAATAGAGCTTATAAGGTTTTATTGCATTTGACCTCGTTTGTGTCTTAATCTCGCTCTTGGGATCATATCAAAACCTCCCCCAACAGTGGATCAGGACAGTGTCCCAAAAAGGAGTAGAGGTTTAGGGTGTCCAAAAACTGAGTCGAGGTGTTGGGCATCCCAAAACAGAGTCTAAACAGAGGGTTTTCTAGTTCACTAAGGTTCTTTTAGGAGACTCTTGCCACTCCCACTAAAAGGGTGCCTCTAAGCTGTCTGGTTTTCTGAACCCTCACCCTAATTGTGAGGAAGGATTTCATGCCCGTTTTGACTCTGGGCAGCCAGGAGTCACTCATTCCTAAAAGGCCTCTGAACAGAGGTTTTTCTAGCTCACTAAGGTTCTTTTGATTCCCAAAACCAAGCCAAGGTCCTGGGTCCCAAAACCGAGCCGAGGTCTTGGGTACCGAAATCCAGCCTCACCACCACCTCATTATTTCATGGGGATTGAAGTGTATTACAAGACGATGGCCAAGTTTCGATTTAGAAATGGTCTCGGTTGGACCCAAAACCTTTACTCAGTTTGTGTTGGACTTAAAATAACTCCAAATACTACCAGCTTATTAGATTTCAAGGTATTGGATTCATTGACAAAAACTAGAATTTTTTGGAGGGACTTGGAATGGGACTTTGGAATGGGACTTGGATTTTTTCCAAATCTGCATTTTTTTACAGGTACTATATCCAAAGACTCCACTGAACTGTCTTACCGATTTGTTTTGGGTTGAAATGAGAGCGACCTTAGCACATTTTTATGTAATTGGCTGCAATGAGATGCATGATGAGTAACCGCTCAATTAAACCTTATTTTCTTTCTCAATAGTCTTAGAGGATGGGCAGCCTTTGGCCGGTCTCTTCTCAACCTCGGGATGACTAAGGGGGTCAAGCCCGGAACGCATGGCAGGCATGGGGAAGCACGCTGTTACTCATAAGCTTGTCTCTTCCCCCGCTGTTTATCCCGCTGCGTTGTTTATTCCCTTGCCAACACTGCGGCATTTTACATCGAAACGCTCAAAGTTCACCGGAAAACGGTGCCATGYGCGTTGCCGAGCCTGATGGGCAAACGGCGTTTAATCGTTTGAGCGTTTAA